ACGTCATTTCATTAATATCGTTCAATGTTTTAAACTAAATAGATTTTTTGTTTTTATAAATTATTTTAATGATATAAGGATTTTTATGACCATTCAAGATTTTTTTTAATCAAACTTTGGTGCATCACTTGCTTTTGTTCATATCTCGGACAGTTCTAGCCATTATAATTTCTTAAAATATTAATGACAGCAGAACATGGGCTGCCCTACAAATACATATTTTAATTATGGCAAGAATAAAAGCAAATAAAGAAAAAGTACACTTACTAAAAAATACATGTTCCTTAAGATTTAGCCCGCTCCACAATTCAAACATTACTGTATGGCTAGTTTCACTCCTCTGCTTATGCTAAAAAGGCAATAATGGTCCAACGTTTCTGACCATTTTCACCAATAAAGCATAGAAGAACAGGGCATCAGTACATTGTAAACTGATAGGTTCAAATATTCCCTGTGTGTTTTGTTTTTGTGAAGTTTCAGTGCACTTTACTGATGCATTTCTTAAAACAGTTTGCATAGAGAGAACAGAGGGAATTCTAGACATCTAATTGTTGCTGTTCTGAGATTGTATGTAGAGCGCTCTACAAACTTGTTAAGTGTTGAAACTGGCCTCTGCTGCAGAAACAGCAAACTATCTACAGTAAAATTTCTTTTAATTGAATCTCTGAATCCTGCTCTTCTTCATCTGATAGACTGGTCATTTTTGGGTTAAAACTGTTGGTCCCCCTACAAAGTGTATTTATGCTCTCACACTATAATCTGCTGTTTTACTCCACTGAACTCCATATAAAAGACAGAAACTTATTTGAACAGGCCCATCTAAAGGGTTAATGTTGCCAGCTGATGATCAACAGTAAAAATGACACATTTGACCTCTTCCCAACAGAGAAAACAGCAACAATCTAGAATGCATGATTATTTGGTGTCATGGCTCAACGGTTAAATGTGGTTATAATAGAAGTCAATGGGTCAAAAACAGCCAAGAACATAATGAAAGGGTATATAGATTGCGAGATTAATCGTATTATCATCACGATAACGATATTTTTGGCCCACGATCATGAAAATGGGAGACTAATAATTCATAAAAGAATGACAAAATAAATGAGAACAAGTAACAAATGAAACTCATTCCTGTCTTTCAATGAGTGCTTATGTGCATTTAGGAGAACTAGGCAGCACACTCAGGACTGCAAGATGGATTAATTTAGTATTCTTATTATTAAAATATATCTGAATGAGGATTAAATGACTGAGTAAGGCTTTGAGAATGAAAACCAACCTGTTTGTTCCTGCAGATCTTCAGTTTGACTGTGAATGTTTCTTCAATCTTCACATCTTCACTCTCCTCTTTAATAAACGCCATCTTTATAACAGTGTGGAGATCAGTCGCTTCAGCAGAATTTTTCTCTGTGTTAGGACACTTTATCCTGCTTAAAATGAACAAAACAATAAAAATGTTCCGTTTAAAATAAATAAAACAATGAACAGAAATAAAGTAACTTCTATTCAACACTTGCTTCAACAGTCTCTTTGTATGAAAGAAATTAACAAAAAGAAATCGGGTAAGTCAGAGCAAGAAACAAAAGCCACAAATAACCTGATTAAAACTAGTACTCCATTTCTTATAGTGATGTATACTTAGAATGGAATGACATTATACTATTTAATAAAGTAAACCTTCATTAAAACACTTATTACACACTGTTACATCTCTGTAACTTTATTTAAGTATGTTCTTAATTGTTGTTTGTTTTATTTACTTAATTGTCTGCTTACAGCAACGTGTAGCATTTTTTTTTGCCCAAGACAAATTTCCTCTCGGGGACAAAAGGTTTATCCTATCTTTATTCAAACAATAGACCTCATTACTGTGAGTGAAATAGTACTACGTTGTATAAAGGGTTAAAATAATATTGTCAACAGCAGGTACATAATTTAGCACTGAATAAAAAAACTAACTTTAATCAATCGCTTTATATAAGTGTAAACGCTTTAAAACAAACATTTCTCCAGTTGAATCGCAGCGCGGGAGCGGCGCAGGCTTATGACGTCACAATCCACGCCAAAATAAAAGCCTTTTTAACCTTTTTTTTTTTTTTGGCACTTAAGTTACTTTTAGTCATGACTTGATATTTATAGTTTTTCTCTGCGTTTTGACTTTTTATCCTGTTAAAAATTAACAAAACAATAAAAATGTCCTGTTTAAAATAAATAAAACTTTAAACAGAAACAAAATAACTTCCTCTTCCAACAGTTTATTTATATAAGAGTAATTAACAAAAATAAATCCAGTAAGTCCGAGCAAGAAACAATAGCCACAACTGAGCTGATTAAAATTAGTACTGCATTTTTTATATATAGTGATGTATACTTAGATTGAAGTGAAATTATTTTATTTAAAAAAAACCCTTCATTAAGACTCTTAATACACTAACGTTGTTCCATAGTCCTCTTTACTTTGAGTAAAATAGTATTACGTTGTATAAAGGGTTAAAATAATATTGTCAACAGCAGGAACATCATTTAGTATTGGATGAAAAACCTGAAACTTTAATCAAACGCTTTATATCTGTGTAAAAGCTTTTAAACAAACCTTTCTCCAGTTGATTCCCTTTAATTTTGTCATAAGAAAAAATTTCTAAAATCACATACAAATACAAATAATACTATTAGACAGAAAGGGAAAAAATATTAATATAATTAAAGTATTAATAATAATAATAAAATTACTAAATGAAACAAAAAAAAAAATAAACAAATTAATGAAATTACAATGACACTTAAACAAATCACCATAAGGAAAGGAACTAAAATCGAGAATCTTCTTTAAATACATCTGCATAATATTTCAGGAATCATTCAGGAATTTTTTTTTTTATTGTTAATAAGATGAAGTGATGTTAGGAGAGTGTTAAATTCTATTCTAAAATGAGCAAATGATGAGTAATTATTTGTGAATTTCTGTTTGTGAATGAAAAATTTGCCATATAAGATTTAAAAAAAAATGTATGATGTGTTCCAGGGATTTAGCTTTTGGGTTATTATAATAAAAATAATGTCTTTTAGATTAAAGCAATTCACAGCATTGGCAAAAGTAGATATATGAAAATTTAGGAGTGACCAAAATTGCTTACATATTGGACAATCAAAAAACATATGTACAAGTGTCTCCTCTGCTTGTTTGCAGAATGAACAGGAGCTGTCGATGTCAAAAAATTTGGAAATACTAGAATTTTACAGGGTAGATTTTCTGTACAATTTTAAAGTGTATTTCTTTTGCCTTGTTGGAAATGCAATATTTCCCAGGTAAAAGCCAGGTTCTAGTCTATATCCTCAACCAAAGACCTCCAGTAATACTTTTCTCTAAAATAAATTTTCCTTTTAAATGAAAAATTTGACACACAAAGCTATTGTTTCATTTCTTATCTAACAGACTAACACCTTTTAAAAGCAAAGGAGAATGAATATTCACTGTGCTCCTCGAGTTAAATCTACATTAACACAATTTTGTTTAACTTCTATAATATATATATAATATATAATCCAACTAGACTAAGCAAAAAATCCCAGCATTCTAAAATGTATAACAAATAATCTGATGGGTGTTTTGAGCTGAAACTTTACAGACACATTCAACGAAGTACTATTTTACTCACAGTAATGATGACTATTTACCAACGTGTGTGTAATAAGTGTCTTACTGAAGCTTTAATTTATTAAACAGTATAATGTTATTCCATTCTAAGTTTACATCAATTTATATAAGAAATGAAGTGCTAGTTTTAATCAGCTAATTTGTGGCTATAGTTTCTTGCTCAGACTTATCTGATTTCGTTTTGTTAATTACTCTCATAAGAAGATGAGAAGTTATTTTCTTTCTGTTTATTGTTTTATTCATTTTACATTTTTATTGCTTTGTTAATTTTTAACAGGATAAAGTGTCCAAACGCAGAGAAAAACTATATATAAGTCATGACTAGTTAGAAGAACTAAAACGTGTAGTAGTAATGAATACTTTTTACATGAAGGACACCTATTTTACCTCCTTTTCTGTAAAGTTTTAGCTCCAAACACTCATTAGATTATTTGTCATACCTTTTAGAATGTTGAGATTTTTGCTTTAAACAATTAGTCTTAGTGGATTAAAAAAAGTTTTTTTAACTGTCTTAAAATGTTTAGAGTAAAGGTTTTGATCAACTCCAAATACTGAATATATGTGCGTCTGTGAGAAAGTGGAAACGAGGGAGAAATGTATCAATAAGTCAAGACTGCAACTGTAAGTGGCAAAAAAAGGTTTAAAAATACTTTTATTTTGGCGTGACGTGTGACGTCATAAGCCTGCGCCGTTCCAGCGCTCTGATTCAACAGGAGAAAGGTTTGTTTTAAAGTGTTTACACTTATATAAAGCGATTAATTAAAGTTTCAGTTTTTTTCATTCAGTGTTAAATTATGTACCTGCTGTTGACAATATTATTTTACCCTTTATACAACATAGCCCTCATTACTGTGAGTGAATTAGTACAATTGTTTGAATAAAGATAGGATAAACTTTTTGTCCTCAAGAGGAAATTTGTCATATGCAAAAAAAGTGCTATGCATTGTAAGCAGACAATAAGCTAAATAAAACAAACAAAAACAATTAAGAACATGCATAAAGAATAAAGTAAAAAAAAGTTACAGAGATGTGTGTAATAAGTTCTTTATTGAAAATGTAATTTATTAAATAGTATATTGTCAGTCCATTCTAAGTTTATGGCTATATAAGAAATGGAGTAACGTTACTAGTTTTAATCAGGTCATTTGTTTGTTGCTATTGTTTCTTGCTCAAACTTACCTGATTTCTTATTGTTAATCACTCTCATATAAAGAAACTGTTGAAGTAAGTGTTAAGAAGTTATTTTGTTTCTGTTCATAGTTTTATTTATTTTAAACAGGATAGTGTCCAAACACAGAGAAAAACTCCTGCTCAAGTGACTGATCTCCACACTGTTATAAAGATGGCGTTTATTAAAGAGGAGAGTGAAGATGTGAAGATTGAAGAAACATTCACAGTCAAACAGGAAGATCCACAGGAACAAACAGGTTGGTTTTCATTCTCAAAGACCAACTCAGTCATTTAATCCTCATTCAGATATATTTTAATAATAAGAATGTTAAATTAAATCCTTCTTGCAGCTTTGAATGTGCTACCTAGTTCACCTAAATGCACATAAGCACTTATGAACTATGTTTCTATCCAAAAATGGGAATGAACTTTATGCACAAAACTGGATTTTAGCATAAAAGATATGCGAAAAAAGCTGCGTTTGCATTCAAATCAAATCACTTTTCTTGTCACATCATCAGCAGCATGTGTGCTATGATGAGTGAAAAGCTTAGGTGCTGGCTCCAGACAGTACAAAATACAGACAGTTTAAATACAACAACAGTGCAAAATACAGACCATGCAAAATACAACGACAAAGAGTCAAGCGAACAAAATCATCACTTCCTGATTAACTGGTGCCAAAAATCAACAGTAAAAATGGAATTTGCTGCAAAAAGAGAAGCAGGATCAATAGCCACGTTTCCACTATCGCGTCTAAAGCGAGCGAGACAGGGCGAGCCAAGGCCAGTCGCGTTTCCACTGTCACTTCCAGGGCCTAATCGAGCCAAAGCGGGGTTTTCTCGGGGCCAGCGGCCGGCCTTTTTCGGCCCGCCGAATACCTTGGGCCAAAGTGGGCCAGCTGGGGCTTCGGGGCGGAGTGAAAGGAGAGGCAGACACTAGTTTTCCGATCGCACACGAGTACATGCACCAAACAAATAACCAAATAAAAAAATAAGGGATAGAAAGCATCGAACCTTGTAAGCCTAGTTCACACTAGAGGATTTTAAGCCTGATTTGAGCCCGATTTGGAAATTACAGAGCTCGCCAACAGATCGGGCTGTGATCGGGAAGAAATCTGCGGGTGCTCGGCACTCTTTATGTGTGAACTACTGAACAACGCATCAACGAGGCTCGCTGACGCGTCGCCGACACCTCGCAGATGGAAATCCAACATTCAGCATGCTAAATATTCCAGAGCAGTCGGCCGACTCAACCCCACGCGTGGTCAGATGTAGTGACGAGCTGCAGCCAATGAGAGAGCATATCAGCATGAGCCGCGTGCCTGTGTGTTCAGGAGCTCAGCAGAAACATCTGTGATTGGTCAGAATGGGCATCAGTGCACTCGCTTCATTCTGCGTTAGCACAGACATGAGAGTAGGCTATATTAACAGTGGAACTAGAATTCTGTAACTATTAGAATTACTACACTGCTCATTCTGACGGTTCTCATATAAAACGCCATATTGTCACAACATATTTACATTCAAAGCTATTATTGAGATATTAAAATTAAGCTTTGAATGTCTGGCATCATATTTACTGACACCATTACCCTAAACATATAACCGTTTTTTGGTAATACAGCCTATAAATATGTAGTTAAGATACTAAAACACTTAAAGGTCTTGGCTTTCATTTTCACTTTCAAACAGGAGCTATTTCACTGCACATAATATGCTGTTTTTAAAGATATCTAAAGTAAATTGATGTTTTTGCCATCAGAAAGTTTTGTTTATGTTAGCAGGAAGTTGCTTGGCAAGAAAATGCACACATATTTAAAGTCACAGTAAAAAGTATCAGACATGCATGCTGTCATTTTGACCAATATGGTATTTTAAGGCAGAAATGCTCAGTTCTTTACTGTTTTGTAATTAAAAAAAAAAAAAAAAACAATGTCAGAAAGAAATACACTGATAGTTAAAAAACGGCAGGATGTTATAAATTTGTTAGTTTTATTTTAAATAGTTATAAAATTACAAAAATTAAAAACTCTGTGTTTATCTATCCACTGGAACCTGCAGATGAGTGATTAATCCGCTGATAAATCAGCTGATTTGACGATGTTTTTAAATGCTTTCTCCAAAGCTTGAAACGCTGTCAGTGATGTCATCAGCACACAAGCAGCCAATAGTGTTCAGCTTTTTCTGACGACTCCTCCCTCGAAATTTCATTGGCTGTGGTTTGGTAGCTTGAATGAGCTGATGGGGAATGAGATGTTGTCAGATCATGTAGTGTGTGACCCCCCCCCTCTTGTGGATCATTCACGTAGTGTCATGTAGTGTGAACACCACAGAGATTAAAAGACACAAAGTCTAGTCATGTAGTGTGAACGGCACAGCGATCTGCTGATGTTTAAAATCCTGTAGTGTGAACTAGGCTTTAGGCTGGAGTATTTTTTGCGTATGATCGCCCTTATGTTTTCTTTTTTAAATGTAACGCTGTTGCATAAAATGATAAAGTTTTCATTCATAAGTGACTTTGCTGCATCCTCCTTGATGTTTCAATAACGCATAATAATCTTTACACCATATTAAAGACATTGCGATTGGCCCGGCCCTGCCCGATAAAAGCCCTGGCTTGCACATGCCCGACAGTAGAAATCCGGCTAATCTTTTCTTTATCTAATAAATAACTTGCGCCTCAGAGGGTAATCCTGAAACGCAGTGAACGCGTAGTGGCGTTTAAAGGTGTCAGATGCGAGGCTAAGATGCTCTTAATTCTGGAGGTCTTGAATAATATAATAACACTAATACTTAAACTGTAAGGCGTATAAGAATGACCAAAACAAGAGTTCAGGGGCCTCATGTATTAACTTTGCGTACGCCAGGTTTCACGCTCACAATCGCTCACGTTTGGATTTACTAACGATGAACTGAACGTGGGAATGTGAGCAGCTCCACGGCAGCTTTCTGGCTGGCGTACGCACATTTTTTGTTCTTGTCTGTTTTATTTCCATTGGCGACTTCTAGAGGCAGTTGTGTTAAATTCCTCTCTACAAAGTGTCTGAGTTCATTAGACGCTGGATTCGAACCGAGTTCATGCTCGAACGTGTCTAAACATGTTGACTACACCTTACGAGCTGCGCCAATGAAACTGTTAAGGGTGCTGCAGCATTTTACACCTATAAATCACACTATTTATCTTTTAACTCCACAGTGCGATGTTCAGACCCAACTATGTTAACCGCATCAGCTAAACTCTCCCCACTCTATTTTTTTCTTTTGTTGTTAATTCCGGAGAATGAACTTGCAAATAACACCAAAGCAGCACCTCCAATTCACATTCTGTTCAAAGTTTCTCTTTTTGCTTGCTTTTGCCTTTGCTTTTTCGTTGGGTTTTGTCAAAGTAGAGTCATTAGCATATTCATACGGGGGAGGAGGCAGGGGAGGGGTTTTGTGCTCGTGCATGTTGCGCTCAGTTTCACGTTCATTCTTATGTACAAAAGAATATGCGTGGGATTCAGCGTACGCAGTGTTTCATTTACACATTTACAGCTTTGTGCGTACGCAATGTTTTAGTATGATTACCACGCAAGTCTTCGTACATGAGGCCCCAGATGTTTTATAATGTACTGAGCCGGCTGGTTTGTCCATTCATACACATTTTTATCATCACATGATCTCTTATAACAAAATCACATGACCTTTTTAATGCACATACTGGAGTTTGTATCGTGTTTTCCATCGTGATTTTTCATCTTTTCTTATAGAATAAAACGTTTATCCTACTCAGTTATGCGCATACGTTGTTTTTTTTTTTTGCGTGATGGTGTTTCCATAAACAGTTTTTTTAAGTGCATAAAAATAGGTGGATGGAAACATGACTATTGAAAGACAGGAATGAGTTTCTCTCTTGTTACTTGTTCTTGTGTCTTTTGTCATTATTTTATATATTATTAGTCTCCCATTTTCTCTACCTTCTTAAGGTTATTGCTTTTCTTGTTCTCCTACTGTTTGTAAAGCGTCCTTGAGCACTGGCCCTATATAAAATAAATAAAAACAACTAATTAAAAAAAAAAAACTTAAACTGAGCTAAAGATATTTGACCTATAGTATTCTCATAGAAGATATCTGCTATTACAGTGATAGTGTTGGCTTAGTACTTTCCATTTGCATATGTCACATTGATCCAAATTAACTTTTTTCATCAACATCTTAATGGGTTTAAACTTGTTTCTAGTAGATGTTACTAGTTCTCACAGATAGTATCTGAGTTAGAATTACATCATTATTATAATAACTAATTACCAGGGCTATTGTGTTTAACCAGGGTTTCTGCTGGGTCTTAAAATGTCTTAAATTCCAAAATCTAAATTTTCGGCCTTAAAAAGTCTTACATTTAATTAAATATTGTGTTTTAGGTCTTTAATCTTTTTAAACAAGTCTTCATTGTCCTTTGTTCATGTTTTGCTACCCAATCTGGCCAAAACCCATACAATCACCAACAATCCATCTCAATAAAACTTTCAACTTTTCATTAAAAAAAGTAATTTTAACTCTATTTGTCATAATGGTTTAATAATTTTCCTTACGATAACATTTATTTAAACGTGCTCCATGTATTTACTGCTGAAGACATCGAGGACAGATTGTTGTGTAGATTTAGTTTTTTATAGTTTTTAAAACTTTTAAAACATTTGTTCATTTTTAATTATTTTTTTAAAGAAAGTTTATTTAAGAAAAAAGTGTGTGGATACAAGTAAAGCTTGCTTGTTATTACACACAATTTAAAATCTTTTGCTAAGAAATATCTAAAATATATATTTTTAATTAATATATTATTGTATGATTAAATGTATTAAATTATCATATATTTTTTAAATAGGGCAAATTAAAATCTTTTCCATCTGGGCTATTTGAAAAATCCCTTAGCCTTTAGCCCTTTATGAGTCTAAAATTGTCATAATGGTCTTAAAAATGTCTTTAAAAGTCTTACATTTAACTTAGTGAAACCTGCAGAAACTCTGGTTTAAAGTATAAAAAAAACATGGATGCCCCCAATATTAAATATGCTGAATGAAATGGACAATAAAATAATTAATTATTATAAAACATTGTACAGAATTCTAAACTATATGATGTTGCTGCAGGGCGACGTGAGACTAAATGAACAAACTATTGTGAAACAATACCGTTAAACATTGCGCTGACTACAACTGGCCAACAAACTAGTCTAAAAAAGACTTTTGCTGATTAAGAAATGGATTACAGCATGCTGATGATATGCAGAGATTTGAGTGTAAAGTTCATCAGTATTGACTAGGGATGGGAAGATTAACCGATATGTATCGATACTCGGTCATGCGAGTGCATCGGTAGAGCAGCAGAGGATGAATGAAATTTTGGAAGCAAATTGAGATGCATCGGTTTTTGCGAGATGCATCGGTTTTTCCAAGATACAGCTTATATTTTTAATATAGAATGTATTTTTTTTTTTATTAGCAAGTGTTGTCAACCTGTTTTTGGCGCATAATTTAATCGACCTACATAAAGTATGCCTTAGCAACGGATTTGCGGATGTGTACACTTACACTACAACTCAGTGTATCAGGTGTGCGGATGAAGCTAGTGGTGCGCCCTCAGAAAGCGCGAGAAGCAAAACAAACATTTTATTCCCCACTGAGTTTTAAATCTAAAGTATGGCAACATTATGGATTTTGCAAAAAAGATGGACGACTTTTTAGGACAGATGCAATTTGCAAAATGTGCCGCACATCTGTAAAATACACGGGCAGTACGACTAATCTGATATCTCACTTGAAGCGGCGCCTCGTTGTTGTTGTGGAAGCATCTTCCAGTGTTCCTGCATCCCCGGCTTCCTGCTCTGCTTCAACTGTAGCTACCAGCTCCAAAAGTGGTGAGAAAAGCATTGAAAGTTTTCTCCATGCGCAACAGTTCTGCTCGCTCTACACCAATAACGAATGCTATTGCATTGTTCATCTGCAAAGATATTCAGCCTAGTGTCACGGAGAACGAAGGTTTTAAACACCTCCTGTTAATTTTTATTTATTTATATTTTTATTAGCCTGTTGTTTACAGTGATAGTGATGTTTCAAAGCGACATAACACTGCTAGTTCACGACCTTAAGTTTTGAATATTCAGTGGCAAAATATATCTTTGTAAAACTTGTTTTCATAGTTGAAAGGTTAAATCACAATTCTTGTTGTGCAATGGTAAACATTTATGTTGAAAGAGTGCAAATATATACATTTATAATATATATTGCACTTATACATTCTGTTTATCTTGAAAATCTTTAAATAATATGTGCTATAGGTTCTAAAATGGCCCTCTACTGTAAACTGACACTCTGGCTCTGAGAGAAAAGCCAGTTTGTAAAAAAAGTCTTGGTTTTGCTTTGTTAATAAATAATCAAACTCATTCAATGGCACAGCATCCTTTCTTACATAATCTCTTAAACTTGATCTAATAAGTTAGTGCTGAATTATCACATTGTATCGTGATATGGGTGTAAATCGTATCGTGTTGCATCGCAATATGTCACAAATGTATCGCTAATATATCGGATCATATTCTTTGTATCGAGATGCGTATCGGATCGGCATTATAGCTTAGATGCCCAACCCTAGTATTGACCATATTGTTCACGTACCAGCAGGCGCCGCCATTGGAATCTTTTTGCTCTTGACTTTTATTAAAGAATTTTTTTTAGATCCTAAAAACAATGTTATGCTGCTGAGGCATGGGACGATAACCATTTTCAAGGTATAACGCAGTTTGAAAAAAGTCGAGGTTTAAAACTGCCAATATTTTCTGCTGTACCGTTCATTGCTATATGTAAGTTTTTGTTTTTTTTTTACATTTTGTTTTAAGATTTTCAGGACAACAGTATCTCCAGCAGAAAAGATCTCCAAAGATGCCATTTTAAATTGTAAAGAAATCTGTGTTTATAAAACAAATGAAGACAGCAGAAGTCAAGTATTCAATTGAGTGATTCAGCCTGACATGTTTACTGCTCCAAAATACATTAAAAGTTTCTCAAAAGAAAATGTTTTGTGTTCAAAGAGGAAAAAGTGTTTTTTCTTTTTTTTTTTTACCGAGACATTTAAAAGAATATATTTTAGAGGAGTAATCACAGTACCATAAAACTGTGATATTTTTTATTCAAGGTTATCATACTGTCAGAATCTTATACTGGCCCATGCCTAATGCTGCTTGTTGTAGCAAAGTCATATTTTCTTATTTTATTGTTTTTCTTTGTATGTATAGTCATGAACACACTTGTTTGCAGAGCAAGAGAGCCTGTCTCTGAGTTTTCTGTCGGTCTCCTCCCCTTTTTAAAAGATAAAGCGATATTTCTCACTTAGCCTTACATATTCAGCCACCTATTTTTATGTGCTTTTTGGATAGGCTATGAGCATAAAAAATTGGTTTGTTTAAAAGGGTTTGTTACAAGAGATCATATAATGATAAAAATGTGTGTGAATAGACAAACCAGCTGGCTGTATAAACATCTGAAATGTTGTTTTGGTCATTCTAAAACACCTGAATCGTTTCAGTATTCATGTTATTATATTATTAATGACCTTCAGAGCGTGTCGAGAGTGTCTGTTCTCTGCATCTCATTGCTTCAAACGCCAACACGTGTTCATTTTGTGCCAGCATTATTTTCTGAGGTGAAAGTCATTTATTAAATAAAGAAAAGATTCATGTAGCTTCTTCTACTGCAGGAAATTCAGTTTTTACTGTTCATATTTGGGGCCTGTTAATCAGGAAGAGACTATTTTGTTCTCTTTGATTCACTGAATGGAAACGCAGCTTTATTGGCACATCTTTTTTGTGACATCCCAGTTTTGCACATAAATTTAATTCGCTGTTTTGGATGGAAGCATAGCTATTGCCTACATTTCAGTTACACAAAGAACAAAGTCACGTTGCAGAATGGCTTGTCCTTTCTTGATGAATAATTACCTTAAATTCACTAACCTTTGACGGACATGTATTGTAACTAGATTAATGGGATTATTACTAGTTCTAAAAAGATTTTTTAGTCCTGCTTACATTCTAAATGTCATATCAACCTCTACCATTTGATAGGGCTGTGCAATTAATCGAAAATTTGGTTTCAATTTCGATTTTGGCTTCTAACTATTATGAAAAACCATTAATCGAGATAAACGATTATTCCATCATATAGAACACACATTTAACGCCATCTTAATCTGAGCGCTTTAATGGTCAAATACATGCCAATTTGGGTCAGAGTGCTGTGTTTAGTGAATATTCATATTAACCCTTATTTGTGTAATAAACAACAAGTTGAGAATCTAAAGACAAGTGAAAGAAAAACCATATCAAAGCTGCACTATTCTTAAAGTGACAGCGGGCAAAATTCCTGCTGCCGACTGTTTTTAGCATTAATCAAACAACAAAAGGAGAAAATCCCTCACTGCTCTTGACTGAAAGACTTTTGTAGCTCAAATGTTTTTCTGAAATTTAAAACTCTTGAGTATTTAATCTCTCGGTAAATCAACTTGAACCTCCTTACTGAAACAGGCCCCAGGTCATCATGACATGATTGACAATTGTCACTGTTTGTCATTGTACTCTGTTTATCCTGAGAGCTGATGCTGAGTATTCTTAGGGCTTTTTACACTTCAAATTGTTAACCCTGGGTCATTCTAACCCTGGATAAATTCTGGGTTATCTGTAGTCACCTTCCACACGGCTCATGCTATACCTGGGTTTAAAAAATAATCCTGGGTGTTCATTAACAGACAGTTCAAATTCGTAAACCCTCGGTTATCAATATTATTTTGTATATTTACGTTGTCACTGTCCCTGATTAGACAAACCGCAAGTAACCTTTTTAGATAGCATTTCTGCATCTTGTCGGGTATATACAATGTCACCAAGTAGGTCTTCAGCTAAGCCTCAGGACATACACAAAGACAAAAGTACAAATAAATAAAAAACAAGTAACAACGTATGTCATCTTGCCATCTCCTCATCACTCCAGCTTAAAGTAAATGTGGCATTAAGAATTTAAGTTTTATACAATAATGCAAACTTGCAAGTATAAGCGTGAATTATGCAAACTTGCTATGGACATGCAGGATTTGTCTCAATCGAGGAAACAACACGTGTAATCTAGAGCGAGTGCATTTGGTTATTTGCATTTAAGGCCACAGGCACAAAAAGAGCTTGGTTTTCCTCTGACCCCCAAAATTAAATATTCTACAGTGTATATGATCTGATTTTGAGCTGAAACCTCAGACACATTCTGGTAACACCAAAGACTTATTTTACATCTTGTAAAAAATGGGTAATTGTAGAAAACTTTTAAAGGGATAGTTGATGCAGAAATGAAAATAGCCTCACCATTTACTCTCCCTCGTGTGGTTTTAAACCTTTATGAGTTTCTTGATCATGTTAAACACAAAAGAAGATATTTAAAAAAAAAAAAAAAAAGCTACTGGCTTACTGTGTTCAACAATAAAGGAAAGTTTAAAACCACATGACGGAGAGTAAATGGTAAGGTCATTTTAATATTTGGGTGAAAACATCCATTTCTTGCTTGTCGCTTTGAGCCTTCATATTAAAGCTAACTTTTTTTTTTTTTTTTTTTTTTTTTTTTTTTAATAGATCTGATGAAAGAACAGACTCATCAACAGAATGAATTAGATGAGAAACAGCAGTTTGAGAAACCCCAAGAAATAATGACTGATGAAAAACCCACACTGACTAAAAAGACTTCCTTAAATGGAAGACCTCGGAAATCCAAATTGGGGTGTAATTTCAGCTGTAAACAGTGTAGAAAGAGTTTCAGTCAAAAGCCAAAGCTTGATGTTCACATGAGAGTTCACACTAGGGAGCAACCTTACACCTGCGAACAGTGTGGAAAGAGTTTTGGTCAAATACAAGGCTTTAAAGCCCACATGAGAATTCACACTAGAGAGAGGTCGTACACATGCCAACAGTGTGGAAAAAGCTTTTATCATGCTGGACACTTTGCAGCACACATGAGAATTCACACTGGAGAGAAGCCTTTCAGCTGTAAACAGTGTGGAAAGAGTTTCAGTCAAAAGTCAAACCTTGATGTTCACATGAGAGTTCACACAGGGGAGAAACCTTACACCTGCGAACAGTGTGGAAAGAGTTTTAGTCAAAAACAAAACTTTAAAATCCACATGAGAATTCACACTGGAGAGAGGTCTTGCACATGCCAACAGTGTGGAAAAAGCTTCCGTCATGCAAGAAACTTGGCAGTGCACATGAGAACTCATACTGGAGAGAAGCCTTTCAGCTGTAAACAGTGTAGAAAGAGTTTCAGTAAAAAGCCGAACCTGATTGCTCACATAAGAGTTCACACTAGAGAGAAACCTTACACCTGCGAACAGTGTGGAAAGAGTTTTGGTCAAAAACAAGACCTTTACATCCACATGAGGATTCACACTGGAGAGAAACCTTACACATGCACAGAGTGTGGTAAAAGTTTTCCACATAAAAGCACACTCAATCACCATATGAGAACTCACACTGGAGAGAAGCCGTTTGCATGTGCTCAGTGTGGAAAGAGCTTCACAACCAAAACTAGCCTCAAGAACCACATGAATGGTCACACTGGAACCATAGTGTTCACATGTGATCAGTGTGGAAAGAGTCTCACACGCAAAGACTCCATTAGGAACCACATGAAGATTCACTCAAGAGAAGATCGTTTTAGATGCTGTAAGTGTGGAAAGGGCTTTAAGTGTAAAAGAAGCCTCAACACTCACATGAAGCTTCACAATGGAGAGCAGAGTCCTCAACAATGAGCCCTTGTCCACACAAACACGGGTATATTCAAAACGGCAGCTTTTTCATGTAGTTTGGCTGTTCATTCAAGTGAAGTTTATTTATAAACTACTTTCGAGAGGATCACATGCTTATGATTGTCCACGGCTGGTCCAGCATTAGCTAAAACATGATTCACCAATGAGATAATTCCTAACTCACTATGAATAACAAGAGTTTCTTAAAGCTGCGGTCACACTAGAGTTTGAGCTTGTGAAATTCGGTTGTATGGCGCTGTGAAAAGGGGCGGGATCAAACAATATTTTTTAGAAATAAAAAAATGAGCAATTGCTCCATGGTTTAAACTTCTGTCCAGAGAGGTCATGTTTTGATTCTCGATTGGTCTCACGCAGTCAAGTGATGTGATTTCGCAGGTCAGAGTTCACCAAGCATGAACTTTGCACTTCAGCAACCTGCGAAACTTGACGCATGACCCTGTGTTTTTGGTCTGACACATTCACGTGCGTATGAATGCAAGTCTATGGGAGGAAAAGCCCAGTGTGACCGTAGCTTTACTCAGTTATCTTTGTCTTGAAGAATCCCTCTCCCACCCTTACTCCCCCTCCTTTCTAGATTGGGCAACACGGCAGCCAATGATTAGCCAGTGGTTAGCACTGTTCCCTCACAGTAAGAATGTCGCAGGTTAAAGTCACTACTAACCAGTTGACATTTTTGTGCAGAGTTTGCTCATTCTCCCTGTGCTCGTGTGGGTTTCCCCTGGGTCCCCTGGTTTTCTCCCACAGTCCAAAAACACACAACCTAAGTAAACTGAACATTAAATTGGCACCATAGTCGAGCTCTTAGTAAGCCTTATATCTCCCTTTAGCCGACCCTATATCTGTCATTAGAATAGAAAGAAGTCTGGGGAGTTCATCGAGATCTACCTGAGCTCACACTCCCCTCTTGTCCTGCTTACGGGAGGTAGCCCAGGGCTCGAGGTCTCTCCCGGTATAGCATGCCAAACAAGTGTGAACTCTTGAATGCATATCAAGTTACTGATAATGAAACCCTTTGAACACCTGAAAATTGAAACTCAACTGAAAAGGGGTGAAGATTTTGCCAGCTGTTTTGTCGTGTAGATCAGGGGTCACAGCCCAGTACCAGGTTGTGAGAGTTAATATCGGGCTTCAAGAAGGCAAAATAACTCTATATGTTAATAGATTGTATTGGCTTGTTTCATATGCAACAAGTATCTGCTTCTGATAAGGTGTGGACCAAATGACCTACAGGAACTCAAGAGATGTGACCCAACCAAAGCAGTTGGGTAATCTCCAGGGGGGTTTCATTCTTTGTTATAAATTAGTGTCTCACAGACTGTACTTTGGTTTAAGTTACTTGAAGACGGACAAGTTAACATCACTGCTGATGAACTGCACAATTAATTGTCTTCAATAAAGTCTTCTCCCTTTAAGAACTTTGGTCAGCTTACTTATTTGATGTATTAGAGTCATCTATACATTGGCGAGCCACCCAAGAATGGTTAAGCCAAATACAGCAAAATCTGAAATGTGCTTAAACTTATTATGAACCGATCACCATATTTGTGCAGAGTTCCATACAATTCTTTCATGTTGTCACAACACAAATTAGGTTAACTTAACACTTTTAATAAATGTATTTGGACTGAACATTAAGTTGTCCCACTGAAATCTCAAGAGTTGTGTTATTTCAGCACATTTTAGTTAAGTAGTTTGAACAAGTAAAAAAAAAAGTTTATTTTTCTGTTTAATGGAGATAAGATTTATTCAGCACATTTTAAAACATAATAGTTTTAATAACTAATCTCTAATAACTGATTTATTTTATGTTTGCCATGATGACATTAAATTAGACAAGTTATTGTATAAGGATGGTTTGTTCTGTAGACTATTGGGGAAAAAATAGCTTAAAGGGGCTAATGGTTTTGTCTTTAAAATGGTTTAAGTATAAAGTTTAGAATAAAAAACAGCTTTTATTCGAGCTGAAATAAAACAAATAATACTTTCTCCAGAAGAAAAGAAAAAGAGGAGACTTTTTTAGCCTAATATGAGTTTATAAATCTTAAAGTCACACTTTAAAAGAAACTCCATACCACCAACTTTTTTAAAATAAGATTTGGGATTATATACTACATCTAATTTTTATGTTTTTATTAATTTTTTTTTTTTTTTTAAATGTTCAAAAAATATGCAAACCAAGTAGGCATTACATGCATAAACAAGGAAAAAGTAATACAATTACAATAATAGGCAGACACAAATATAGGAAAAAAATTGCGTATAGTAATGACACTTGTATTTTCTGTAAAAAAGTAAATAAATACAAATTAAATTAATAATAAAACAAAAACAAATATATTAGAAAAGTTTATGCAATATATGTATACATACACACACACACATACACACACACACACACACACACAGTACTGTGCGCTGGTCAGTTGGCATTTCTGTGTGGAGTTTGCATGTTCTCCCAGTGTTCACGTGGGTTTCCTCTGGGTGCTCTGGTTTTCCCCACAATCGAAAAAACATGCGGTACAGGTGAATTGGGTAAGCTAAATTGTCTACTATATGCAAGAAAAAGAGAAGGGGGGGTTTTAATAGGTTTAGATTTGGAGAAGGCTTTTGACAGGGTAGAGCATGATTTTTTATTTGCAGTTCTTAAGGAGTTTGGTTTTGGGGAAAATTTTAGAAAATGGATTCAAATTTTTTTATACAGATATTTTAACTTGTATTAAATGTTTTTTTTTTTTTTTTAACAGAATGTCTTCAACCAACTAGATCAATAAGGCAAGGATGTCCATTGTCTGCTTTATTATACACACTGGAAGCTGAGCCACTGGGATTGGCAATAAAATCAGATAGAAGCATTAAAGGGATACAAATAGAAAACAATGACAACAGAGAAGCTGTGTATCAATACGCTGATGATACTACATTGTTGTGGATTTTAGAGCGATATTGTAAAGCATCAGGAGCTAAGGTTAATGTTGGAAAAAGTTTATGCATGAGGGTGGGAAGAGTAAAAGAAATAACACAACATATACCCTTTAAAGAAGAAAAGGAACATACAAAAATGTTGGGAATTTGGGTGGGGATGGATTTTAATAAAGCAGATATTTTAAATTGGGAGAGAGTTTTAAATGGAATTGAGAAAAGACTGAGATTTTGGAAAGCTAAAATTTGACGATAAAAGAGAAAGTATTCATCTTAAATGCTTTAATGTTGTCAAAGGTCTGGTATGTGTTAAGTGTAACTGCGTTGCCTGAAGTATACTATGAAAAAATAAATGATGTAGTTTTAAAGTTTTTGTGGGGAAATGGAAGAGCCAAGATTGCTTATTATACTTTGATTGTGGAGGTAAAAGAAGGAGGTCTGGGACTTTTGGATAGTTTTTTAAAAATGAAAACATTAACAATTAAGATTATTCAAAGGTTTTTCGAAGGGAAAATGGGTGTGATTTGGAAAAGTGTGTTGGATTATTATTTGAAGAAATGTGGACATTTTAATATGGGATGTAATGTTTTATTGATGAAGATGAAGAAAAGGATGATAGCAGGTCTGCCAAAATTTTATGTTGAGGTCTTAGAATCATGAGGGGGATTTTTAGAAAATGTGTTGATTATACCAAAAGCAAGGGCACAGATTCTAGAACAACCACTTTTACTGAATTAAACAATTTTAAGTGAAGGAAATGTTTTATATTTTAAGGAATGGTGGGACGGAGGATTAAGACAAGTTAAAGATGTATTATATGAAGTAATAAAAGGATTTGTACCATTAAAAGTAATTGTGGAGGATGGGTATAAAAGAGTTGTTAAAGCAAAATTACAAAGACAATGTCATGAGTTGAAAAAAGCAATACCAAAAGACTGCATTGTAATAATTGAAAAAAAAAAAAAAGTTGGGTGATGAAGGTGAATTACCAGAGACCTATTTTAAGAAGAAAAATGGAGAGATCAATGAGCTTATGTACAGTTAAGAGTTTTTACGCTATTTTTAGATAAAAGGCTTTTGTAAGACCTATAGCACTCAACTAATTAACAAAATTTTAATTATTTATTGAGACATATTCGCATATTATTATAAATGAGTAAAGAAATAAAATGAATAGTATAAATGAATAAAATGGGTATTAAACAAGATATAATGACTCAAAGGTTGGTGATTCGAGCCCACCCACTGACGAATTACACACTTTACTGCCTTGCAACTGCTAACATGTGCACTGGGCATAGATCCTGGGCCACATTTTGTCCAGCGTTACAAGATGAAATCAGGATTTAGTAGAACATTGTCACGGGTAAGGAAGGTATTACTGTTAACAGTGTCTAGTTCCAGTGGGGACTCCTCATCCGCCTGGCTAGTTCAGTCGGTAGAGCATGAGACTCTTAATGTCAGGGTCGTGGGTTCAAGCCCCACGTTGGGCGTTTCTGTTATTTTCTCTCTCTATCTCAGCAAACTTACATTAGCGTTCGTATAGCAGAACTTTTGAGACAAAGTTCCGCGTTTCTACCACTGTAGGTGACCTTTCACTAAGTCTCTGTGGCGCAATTGGTTAGTGCATTTGGCTGTTAACTGAAAGGTTGGTGGTTCAAGCCCACCCAGGGACGGATTAAGCATTTTGCTGCCTTGTAACTGCTAACACGTGCACTGGACATAGATCCTGGGCCACGCATTACAAGATGAAATCAGGATTTAGCAGAAGATTTTCACGGGTAGGGAAGGTATTACTGTAAACGATTTCTGGTTCCTAAAAGAGCTTCTCATCATCCCCGC